AAATATACAATGGCTGATTTATGAACCGAGGGGAGTATCAGAGATAGTACGAAATCCATAGCAAGTTAAGAATTCCAAGGAAGGTAAACAGTTGGTATAGCAGGTTGCATTGGGTTTAATCTGGTGAGTCTTTATTAGATTAGAACAATAAGTTATAAGAATTTTAATATATAAGTGTATATAAATCATATAGTAGTTTATATGAATAAAGGCAGGATTGCTTATAAAAAAAAAATAATAATAATATATTTTTTACTATGAATATAACAACTAGTATTAGTATTAAAAAGAAAAAAGAGATTTTACTATATAATAGCAAAAATTAATCCAAAGTTTTACCTATCTTCTAATAGAGTAGTAAGAAATAAAATATCATTATATTATATAAAAAATATTAAAATTCTCTAGTATAAAATTTTATTATCTTGTAAATAGCTATAATAATATTTGACTTATAACCTTCATACAATAAACAAGACTATATTGAAGTTATTTATTACTAGATAGCTTTGACTAATCATTGTATAGTATATTATTATTATTATTTTTTTTTAAGGTGTTAAGGTAACCTCTATGCCCGGGAACTTTTTATTAGACTTATTAACTTCAGGTTATATAGTTACAATGAGGGTACATCAAGCCATATGTGTACTTTTGGTATCTAATTTAAGTAGTCCACCTGGGTTCTACACTAGCTACCATATCTGCAATCTAACTAGAATATTACTTATTTAAGCTCTCTAATTATTACTAATGAGAGTACAACTAGCTATATATGCAACTTATTTAAGTAGTCTGCCCTAGGTTCTATACTAGCTGCTATACCTGCATCACAACTATAGAGATACCTATTTAAACTCTCTGGTTACAACTTTAGTAATTTTCTTTTAACTAGTACCTGTTGTGCTGCTATCACTAGGTTCATATCTCAAGCTATCCTCTAGGATACTGCCATAACCTGATTTGTATCTCAAGCCACAACCTTTCTAATTAGTCTTCCATTACATACTCCTTGCCCTTGTAAGGTTCGCACAACCCCAGTACCTATATTCAGACTTTCCTTCTTTCTTGAATTCTTTACTAGTCTCTTCTTTACTTTTAGCCAGCAACCTGAAAGAGTTGGTTTGCCCAGGCTTTAAGAACCTTACAGTTTCTCTTCTCTTGGTATATGCTTCCAAAGCACATGTTCTTTTTCTCTAGTTGGTGACCTAGTGATTTAGCTGGTATGTCTCTCTACTTAAAGATCTGGTTGCTTGGTTCTTCGGTCTCGGTCTCTAATTCCAAATTCAGTCTTTCTGTAGCACTGTCAAAGATTATACTATCTCCCTACTTAGGACTTGCCAAACAAGTTTTTAGTAATTTTGGTTTTCTGGATTTATTGTGCCAAAGCTCCCATTTGAAATGGTGTGACCAAGATTACAGATATCTGGATCCAACTAATAATCTTAATATTAACTGATACAGATCTAGTATTTTCAAAATTATTATCTATGGGATTCGAACTCTAGACCTGCTATCTGGGGTGTGACAATGTATAGTATATTATTATGTTGTGAAAAAATAACATATTTATAATATATATTGCAGAATTTATTTATCAGTTTTTTCAAAAAAAATGTTTAGAATTTAATTTAAAAAATAAATAATATATACTATTACTAATAATAGTGCTAATATGACAAAAGCTATCTAATTATAGAATATTGTTATCTAGCTACTATGTGCTATATATACTTTATAGCTAATAGTTAATTATACTCTACTAAAAATTTATTTATATACAAAAAAAATAAGAAAATTGGTTTATTTTTTTTATTTTTTTTTATTTTTTATTTTTTAAATATTAAAGTGACCACTTAGGCCCCTGGCATGTAGCTTTATGGCTAGTCGTACTCTCGTTAGTTAAATAATCAGAGCTTAAATAGGTAATTTCCTAGTTAGGTTGCAGGTATGGCGGCTAGTGTAAAACCCAGGCGGACTACTTAAATTAGGTACCAAAAGTACACGTGTGGCTAGTTGTATCCTCATGAAAATTGATGTAATATCGTATTTATCTGAATAAAGCCAAGTGCCGGGGGCCTAAGTGATCAACTTAATATTAAAAAAAAAAAAAAAAAAAATTCTTAGTTATATTCATTGCGAACACAAATATTATACTCATATTTGTAATAATAACTATCACATGAATCACATACTTGATAATTAACCTCTTTACATCTGATTTATTAAAATAATAATTACAGATATTATGGAATAAATAATTTCTCTATAAATAACACTTGAGATTAAATATGAGTTTATATTCTTTTTTTAAAGATGCGGACTTAAGAAGTTTATTATGGAATAAATAGTTTCTCTGTGAATAACATTTGGAATTAAATAAAATTTATATACTTTACTTAAATAGCTCCAACTTAAAAAATTTATTTATTGTAATTATCACTTTTTACTATTTAAAACTGAATTGAATGTTTATATAAAAATTAATATAAATGTATATGATATCTTATTTATTGCGAAGTGATAAAACGATTAAAATATTACTAATCAAATAAACAAAAAGTAATTTATTTACAATTTAATGAAGTATACATAGTATATAAAATACTATAAAAAATATTTGAAATATAAATATATAGCATATTAAAAGTAGGACCCAAAATAAAAAAAAATACCTCGATAGATAAATATTAATCATTGAAAATATAAACTACAAGTTACGCTCTCTTGATACTGTTGATGATCTTGGACAATTCAGACCATTGCCTAGTAATGAGAACTACAGGCTGAATAATCTTTTCCTTGCTTTTATTTAAATTTTTATAATTACACTCTAAACTTTTATTATCCTGAACAATACCACTCTTATATTTATTACTCCTATCCACACTTTCTTTATCATGATCATTTGTACATTCATCAACATACTTGGTGAAATCATCTTTCTCATCTTCTACTCTTGTACGTTTATCTATATGAAAATCCTCAGTAGTTAAATAAGTTACGAGCTTACTCTTTTCGTTATCTAAATCTGAATTTTTCATCCCGGCTGCTTTTGATGAATCTTCATTAACACTCTGATATACGTTTAAAAGTCTTAAATAAACAGATCTATATAGTGCTGGAGTATTCTCAGAAATATTAACTTTCTTCTTTGTACAGAACCAGTATCAACATAAAAATATTGACGGCATATACATATAAATTCTTTTCAATAATCTCCATTTGCTCTACAACAAAAAGTACTGATTCATGCAATCGAGTAGAATTCATTAAATGTTTGAATTGAGAATTATGGTGCAGAAAAATGACTTTGATTGTAAAACTGTAAATTTGCCCAGCATAATCATTTACTAATACATTAAGTATTGTGTTTTCGTGATTAATCTCTTTAGATGCATCCTGAGCAACACCAACAAGCGAAACTTTTAATAGGCACCTATTTGAACCAAAATCTTTTTTAATTGAAAGGTGAGTCGAGGATGCAACAGTCATCTAGATTTAAAAAATTTAATAATAGTTCAAAAATTATAATGCATAAAACTAAATATACAAACTTTTATTCTTAAATTTCCATTGTAAGATCCAAGCATAATTTTTCCATCAACACAATAATACTTATTTGTTGCAAAAATCAATTATGAATTAGGATCTCTCTCTTCATCATTCATTGGAATATATAAAGTCATATCTAATTCGCAATCATCACTCTCAATAGGATAAACACCAACTGCCTATACGGCAAACAATTTTGAATCCTTGTTGCAAGTTTGACAAACCTGATTCACTTTAATGATAGTATCAGCATAACAAGGCATTATGAACAACTAAACAACAAAATTAACTTATTTTTTGCGTATTGAAAAATAACTGCCGATAGTTATTTGAATATAACAACAATAAATTACATCATATAAACTTTATATCCAAAGTGACATAAACCAAAAGATGTCACTCATAACAATTACCTTCCTATAAGAGAGATATGTATATATATAAAAAAAAAAAAAACTACCTTACTAATATTTTACAATAATATTCACATGAAAAAAAATATCACAAAAAACTATCCTTAAGCAAGATACTGATAATGCGTGTTTAAAAATTCATTTAATGAAATATGGTCATTATTATTGCTCGATCGTAGACTTTAATGCTATGATAATGAAAATATATATAGAAAATAGATCAAATATCATACACTCGTAACTGTCCCTAAAGTAGGGCCTTTTTGGAAGTTCTGGCACAATTTTCGTTACTCATATCCATCTTGCATATAATTTAGCATTTGCGTCATCAGTTTAATAAAAATTATCTAGAACACATTTATTTACCCAAATTCATATCAAAAAGGATATCATTTTGGCATAGTGGGTATAAATTTGCATTTGTGTCGTCACTCGAATGATGATAAATTTGTGTTTGCGTCGTTATTCTAGCACAATGATATCATTTTTTGTATATCTAGAATGCAATCTTCTGCTCAAATTTATATCAAAAAGATAACAATTATTTATGCTATCTTGTTTGCTATCATTTAGACATCAAAAATCTCAATCAGTATACCAATATTGTTGTATATCTAGAACATATTCTTTTACCTAAATTCATATCAAAAAGGATACAAATATTATTTGTTATAGTAGAATTAATTCTAAAGACGATTCTTCATTACTTTCTGGCACAAAAAATGTGACCCATATATACCAAAAGGGTAACAAAAAATATATACATATATATCAAAGGGTAACAAAAAATATAACCATATATACCAAAGGGTAACAAAATTTCAATAAGGGTCACAAAATTTCGTATTAAAAGTTAACAAAATATGGGCCAACTTTTTCACTTATCCAGAATCAATTTTTAAAGCCTTAGCTCGTAATCTATCATAATACTGGACCACATAGTACCCTTTTGTTATATAGAAATAATTAATTAAACAAATGATTTTATATAAGTAATATAATATACTTCTGTAACTATATAGTATATACAAAATGGTTCATACATGTGATAGATGTAATAAATCATTCAAAAAGTTATGGATGCTTACTCGCCATCTTCAGAATAGAAAATTTCCATGTCGACCTCAAATTATTCCTATTACAAATCCAATTCCAATTTTACAAATCGAACCAGAAGCTGATAATTCTTTGGATCAAGTCTCTAACTCTTCTGACCTAACTATTCAATCAAATAGAGAAAACATAGAAGCCTCTATCTCTTCTACTTCTCAGAACGACATAGATGAATATTTATCTCAAGAAGAATTTGAGTTTCTCAAAACATTAAATCTAATAGAAAATGATGCTGTATTAGATACTGGTATTCACTTTATTCAAATTAGAGTTAGCGATCCAAAAAGACCCCATGATAATTTTAATTTATTAAGTAATTGGGAAGCAATACTTCCATCACCTATACTAGATCCAAGATATGAATTTATCAAACCAATAAAGGATCCCATAAAATATGCAGAAATGCCATATATGCCTCAGTTATTAGCAAATGCTAGAGATGAAATTACAAGAGATCTTAAAATCGAGCTCAATGAAAAGGATCAGATAAAAACTGCATTAATTGCTCATTGTTATTATGCAAAATCAAAGAAGAAGGAGGATATGTTGTATTGTCATCACAGAAGTAAAATGCGTCCTCTTTTAATGGAAAATGATATAGATGAGCATATATCCCATTCAGCTTCAGAAATAGATAAAAAAATTGAGGAAATGTTAAATGGTAAATCAGGCATGCAATTAATTCGAATAGAAAAATTATGTATTGAGGCTTATATACTTCGACGAACTACTGGTGGATCATATATTCCCACTCCCAAAAAACTTGCCAATACTAAATGCACTATCAATCCAGATAACTCTCAAATAAAAGATGATATGTGTTTAAAATATGCTTTAGGTGTATACTTTGCAAGCAATGAAGGTATAACAAAAAATTTGCAACATATTTCTGTTCTTCAACCATATCTAGATATAGTCAATTTAGATGGAGTCCCAATGCCTACTCCAATTTGCTCACGTACATTTAAAAAGATTGAGGAGATAAATCCTAATATCTCTATTAATGTTTGGGAATGGAATGAAAAAACTGCAAAACCCAAATCTGTAGTTTATAGCAAGAACTATAACAGACCACATATTATTCATTTAATAGCTCTTACAGATATTACCAAATCTGAAAAAGATAAGTACGGTCAAAAAAATCACTTCTTATGGATTAAGAATCATGATAGATTAGTATTCAATGATACAAAACATCATGGTAAGAGGTATCTTTGTAACCGATGTGATGTAAGCTGGTCATCAGAAAAAGCTCGAGACCATCATCAAGATTACTGTTTTGGATTAGGTGAAGATTGTCAAAGAGTTGATTTACCTACCAAGGATGTCAATAACTTTGAGAAGTTTAAGAACTATGGACGAATGATCAATACTCCATGTGTTATTATAGCTGACTTTGAGGCTGATAATAAGAAATGTGATGAAAAATATGGAGGGCAAATGCGAAAGCTTGCTGAACAAAAGGCCAATAGCTTTTGTTATCTAGTCCATTGGATTGATACAGGACATGTATGGGGTCCATTCCTATATAGAGGAGAAAATGCTACTCAGGAGTTTGTCAAAAGAATCGATAAGGAATTGGTTGAAATTAATAGAGTCTTAGCTATAAAACATGAACGAATTGAAACTGACAAAGACCAAAAGAAATTCAATGAAGCAGATAGTTGTTGGATATGCAAAGAAAAATTCATTATAGATGAAAATAAAGTCAAATGCTTAGAAAATAAGGCATCATGGCTTAATAATAAGCTAAAAAATATTGCAATTAATTCAGAAGATGATAAGACCTTAACAAAACAAATTGACAAGATAACTAAAGATATTAATCAAGCAAAGTCTATGGACATAAAGGTTTGGGATCATTGTCATATTACAGGTGAGTTCCGAGGAGCCGCTCACAATACTTGCAATCTCAATCTTCAAATTGTACCCTGGAAGACACCAATTCCAGTTATCTTTCATAACTTTCGAGGTTATGATTCTCACTTGGTTTGCGAATCTGTTGGAAAATTAGTTAATGCTCATCAGATCAAGGTTATAGCTGAAACATTTGAGAGATACAAGTCTATGAAGGTAGGTCAGTTGAAATATATAGATAGTAAGCAATTCATGAATAATAGCTTAGCAAATCTTACGAAGAATTTGGATGACAACCATCCTATAACAAGCTGGCATTTTAAAGAATATTCTTCAGATCAAATTTCATTAGCAAGTCGTAAAGGAATTTATCCCTATGAATATATTAATTCACAAGATAGATTTTTAGAGACTGAGCTCCCAGCAATTCATGAATTTAGTACATATCTTCATGGTGAAATTAGTCAAAAAGATTATGAGCATGCGCAAAAAGTATGGAAAGAATTTAACTGTCAAAATCTAGGAGAGTACCATGACCTCTATCTTAAAATTGATGTACTTAGTCTTGCAGATATTTGGACCCAATTCCGAATGACATGTATGCAGTATTATGAGCTTGATCCTAGTCATTATGTTTCAGCACCTGCATTAGCTTGGGATGCTATGCTTAAGATGTCACGTGTTAAAATTGAGCTCTTTACAGATATGTCTATGCATGATTTTATAGAAGAAGCTAAGCGTGGAGGTATAGCTATGGCAGGTCATCGATATTTCAAGGCCAATAATCTAAAAATAGGCAAGACATTTAACCCATCCAAGTCTACAACATGGATTTCATATGTCGATGCTAATAATCTTTATGGGTGGGCCATGAGTCAATATTTGCCTATTGAAAATTATCAATGGGAAGGGAGACGTGAGCATTTTAAAAACAATCCAATCTTCCAAAAAGAAATGCTCAATAAGATTCTTAATACCAAAGCAGATGCTAAAAGAGGATATTTTCTAAAAATTAATACACATTTTCCTTTAAAAACTCATGAATATTTGAGTGATTTACCCCCAGCTGTAGAGAACATGGCTGTAAGTAAAGATATGTTGTGTCCCCATACTACAGAGCTTGTAGATAAGTTAGATAGTGGACGTTTCTCAGCTACAAAAAAATTAGTACCCCATCTTGGTCCACGAAAAAATTATGTTATTCATTACCTAGAGCTTCAATACTATGTAAAATTAGGTATGATAGTAGATGAGGTAATAGAAATCTTATCATTTGATCAAACTAACTAGCTTGCACCCTATATAGCTTTTAATACAGAAAAGCGTCAAGGAGCTAAAAATACTTTTGAGAAAGATTTCTTTAAGCTTATGAATAACTCGGTATATGGCAAAACTATGGAAAATGTTCGCAAATACCAAGATGTCAAGCTTATAGCTATGAACAATGAGCAAGATGAAAAGAAGTTTATTAATAAAATCCGTAAACCCTCTTTTAAGTATGCTAGACAACTTGGACCTTCACTTATAGGAGCACATATGGGAAAAGCTAGTGTGACTCTTAATAAACCTATTATTGTTGGAGCATCAGTTCTAGGTCTTAGTAAGCTCTTAATGTATCGCTTCTGGTATGGGTATGTAAAAGAGAGATATGGTAATAAAGCCCAGCTTGGATATATGGATACAGACTCATTTATATTCCAAGTAGAAACTGAAGATATCTATAAAGACATGGCAGAGTAACCTGATCTTTTCGATCTTAATGATTCTAAAACTATTGGGCTTTACAAGGATGAAACTCCAGATAGTGTAATTGCAGAATCTATACATATTCGAGCCAAGTCTTATCACTATGTTTTGGCAGATAAGTCTACAAAGTCTAAGCATAAGGGAGTTAGCAAAAAGGGTATGAATGAGATGGCTAAGAATACTTATCCAGAGAATGATTCACCTATGACCCAAGTATATCGAGACTGTCTCTTTGGTAATAAAGTATTCTATGCTAAGAATGTGGGTATCCGATCAAAAGACCATATATTATCTTTGGTCGAATCAGAAAAGAAGGCTCTTTGCCCTATAGATACTAAGCGTTGGATATTATCTGATAAAATAACTAGTTTGCCATA